AAAACAGAAACATTTTATGGTATTTTATAGAATATTCATGGAAGTAATAAAAATGTATTACCTAAGCACTAAGTACCAACACTATAGATAATCAGACCAGCAGGATAAATAACTGGATTTCAATCATGAGAGGTTTTATAAGAAAAACTAAATTTCTATCTAGGGAAAAATGCTGATTAAAGGGCTAAGGAAGGTTAATGGGATTCAGGCACATTATACTTTTATAAATGATTCTAAATCAGGTAAAGTCTAAAGTACTTAGAGACTGGCAGGGGTTCTGACCTCTGTGATAAAACATTTTTCAGGTTATTGTCTGGCGTCAGTGGAGTCAATGCAGACCTGATACACATTTTAGAAATATGGCAAACTATCTGCTAAAAAATGTATTTATTGCAGTCAGTAATAATTTTTAGTGCATGATAAAGTTCTGGCCATATATAGAGTGACAATCAAATAAAAAAAGAAAAAAGATGAAACTCACTTTTGTAAAAATCACTTTACGTTAATCATTTTTATGCTTTATCACCGTGACAGCACACCAAGGTTACATATGCAGGCCCTATGCAAAATAGACACATACACTCACAACTTACATATATATTTAAAGTACTCAGAGGATTTCAAGTCCGTTTCTCTATTTTCACCTTGAAGTATGTTGTTTATTAAGCTGGAACTCTTGGTTGAGTATATATGTTCAACGATGGATTTGTCCTTGTTATTTTTCATTCTCTTTACCTCATCTTTACTTTCTTTTACTGTTTGTTTATTTGCAATACTGAAGAGTAAACCCAGACAAAGTACCTCGGAGGTACATCTCTAGCTCCTCCCTCCTTTTAAAAATTTTGAGACAGGGTCTTGCTAGATGTCCCCTGCTAAGTAACAACTCCAGACACTCTTGTCTCAGCCTCCAATAATAATTCAAATATGTATGAACCACTGCAAATGAAAGCAAAAAATTGTTTCTACTTTGAATAGAAGCAGAATAGTTTAAAAAGATTCAGTAAAGGCCAGTAGTTAAGTCAAATTGTCGAATTAAGTATGAAAACAGAAAGAATGAGTTAAAACTTTTTTTTTCATAAAAACTGAGTAGAGGGGCTGGGGATGTGGCTCAAGCGGTAGCGCGCTCGCCTGGCATGCGTGCGGCCCGGGTTCGATCCTCAGCACCACATACCAACAAAGATGTTGTGTCCGCCAAGAACTAAAAAAATAAATAAATATTAAAAATTCTCTCTCTCTCTCTCTCTCCCCTCTCTCACTCTCTCTTAAAAAAAAAAAAAAAAAAAAAACTGAGTAGAGGGGCTGGAGTTGTGGCTCAGTGGTAGAGTGCTTGCCTGGCATGTGTGAGGCCCTGGGTTTAATCTTCAGTACCACACACAAGTAAATAAAACAAAAATGTTCACTGACAACTAAAAATATATTTAAAAAAAACCGAGTMGATTTTAGCTCTCAGATGTCTACATGTGTTTTTAAATTCTCATCACACTTTAAGGAAATCAAAACAACACATTTTGGGTAGTAAAAGAAAGACTGTCAGGTGCTGCTTAAGGAAAAGGCTTTATTCTCATATCAAAATATTGGCTAACAAGTGTACATTTATATGTCTTAAAAGACAGTATTTAAAAATTTTTTAGATTCCTAAGATTTTTTCCTATATGGTCAATTATTGTACTGACTCACCACAGTAAAGAGAGATTCTACTGTATTTATGTACTTCTGTTTTTCTTTCACAAAGCATTGGTAGATTAGAAAGAAACTATCTCTAATGAGATAAATAAAATTTGATAAAAAATTTGAAGCAAAGGTAAATATGTTAATATTAAAAAATGTCATGTTGTTCATTATACTTTACTAAAGATAAATTTGTCTCTGAGTTTCCCAGCAATCAATACAACAAGGCAAACAGTTATGATTTAACTTAAAAACAAACCTGAGAAAACATAAACAATCTAATACTCAGGAAAAAGAAGTATAGTTACCCATAATACAAAGACCAGAAAAATTTTCTCCAGTAGACAAAGGTCACTTATAAGGCAATAATTCAAAATGTCAGCAAATATTTATAGTAGAAACTCTATGTCCTACAGGGCTGTGTTTGGAAATAAGTAATGTGAATATATACACACATTACAAATATAGATGAATATTATGTTTATGAATTGATATATTTTTAAATAAATGGCATCATGCTAAAATGCAATTAAGTAAAGACAAGTACAGCAAATATCCTATAATCCAATTTTCCATATTCTGACAATATACATTAATTCAGAATTAGATTCATGCAATTAAATTAAGAGTAATTTAAAGCAATGGTTCTTAAAATGTATTGAGTGACATACTACTTTGAAAATGTGATGAGAATCTAAATAATTCTTCCAAATCTTAAATAGAATTTCTGGGAATACACATAAATGAGTACATATCTTATAAAGCCTACCCACTAATGTCTTGGGCCAGAGTAACCACTGTGGCTGCAGGTCTACCACAGAGCCGAAGCTGCTTTCTCCTAGCCAGCACTCTGCAAGGGACTGAGCTTACGTACATTCACCTTACCTACCTCCTGCTTCTCCTGCCACAGGCCTGAGTGAAGATATTTTCAACTCTAAGTTAAACGCAGAGCCATGCTCTGTTGAGCTGAGGCAGAGCTCATCTCCTTTCTTAAAAACTGAGCAAAATAAACAAGTAAGTTTCAAAGAGATGAAACCTGATGGAGTGCTTGACAACGGAGCCAGCGTTTCCTTGAAGATTGATTTGGGTGCCTTCTCACTACAGAGATTGACAACCAGAAATCCTATACCATAAAGTATGATTTAAAAAATTTTAGCCTAGACAAAATTTAAGTACTCTGGCTATTAAATAAATCCAACTTAGTAAAGCATGCAGGAAAGTACCTTCTGTTTTTAAACAATGTAAAATACATGATACATAGTGAAAGCTGAATTATGGTTCTCAATTCTTCACTTGCTCTTTGTAAGCAAAGTATATATCCTTATTCTCTGACTTTGAACTTGGTTATGTGACTCATTTTAACAAACATACGATGTTATAGTAGGTAAATAGGTATGGCATGAACAAAGGCTTAAAATGTGTATAACTGGGCTTACCCTCTTGCACTTCTGCTTTGTTAATAGAAGAATATACCTCAGATAGCTACCGGTCCATGGAAGGTGAGCACCACATGGACTAGATTTATACCCAAACATGCTGATCAGCTAAACCCCAACTCCATAAGTGAGCAAGAAATAAAGGTTTAGAGCTGCATATGGTGGCACATGCCTGCAATCTCAGCAACTTGGGAGGCTGAGGCAGGAGGACCCCTAAGTTTGAGATAGGCAAGAGCCCTATCTCAAAATAAAATAAAAAGGGCTGGAGGCGTTACTCGGTGGTAGAGCACTTGCCTAACACAACAGAGKCCGTGGGTTTAATTTCTAACACTGCACACAGGAAAACAAAAAGGAAAAGGAAGAAAGGTTGGTTAGTTTAGGTTTGTATGAGTCTTGCGATGATTTCTTGGTGGCATTATTGAGGCAATTACTAATAGACAAAGATGATACAAAGTGGCAAAATGCAAACATCAGTAGCTACATTGTTGTATGGACTCCTGGCTGTAAATAACTTTTGGGGGTTAGGGGATGTTATATATTAAGTGCAGAACTTTCTTCTCTCCCTGAGAGATGGAAATTACATGCCAAAGCAGGAATTCTCATTCACTTTAACTATGTTACTGACAGCTACATTTCAGACTGCTTTTCCATCCATAAGATTTATGTTCTGCTTTGCCATCTGTAAGATTTATGCTCAGTGTTGTAGCAAAGGCAAGGAGGCAGCATGATAAATGTTGGCAAGGATTTAACTATGAAATTGTTTAGAATTTCGAATGCATGGTAATAAAATGGAGATGAGTTTTAATTAGTTTATTATAATTTTAAATTCTCTACAAATGACGTGTCCCCTCTGGCCTGGGCCTGGGATGTACTGCTCCACAGTGCTGCCTCCCTTAGAGGATGACAAAACAACTCATTACTGTTTAGAACAAGAATTCCAAAAATGGAGTTCTCAAAAATATATTCCATGTCACACTAAGTTAAATATATTACATGTCCATGGTACTAACCCATTCATTTACTTTAATATTAAAAGCTTTACAAAAGCTAATCACAATGGAAAAATGCCTTTGAATTATAACTAAATTGGCAACATAATAGAAAATTATCTCAAATGTAAAGCAATTCAACAAAGCTAGCATGTATTGACTCTTTGACTATATTAACCATGAACCATTTATAAAGCCTCACAAATTCCATTTTTAATGGACTCTGCTAACTTCTTTATTTGTTTTTCTGATTTTAGACATGTAAATAACCATCTCTGTACCACTAAGGGCCAGTAAAAATAAGTGCACTAATAAGAGGACTCCAGGATTTCTTTGAGTGAATTAATATAGGTAGAAAAGAACATATGAACAATGTTAAGTCTTGTTTATTATCAATATTTGCATATTCAGTAGGGTTAATGTTTTTAATTGCTCAAAAGAAGGAATCATATTTCAATACTGTACAAACTGTTAAAATCTAAAGAAAAAGCAATTCTCTCTTTGCTTTCTTGACTTCTTTTTCAAACTGGAGTTAATAAGGACACTAAGTGATATACTTCATAAACAGTCTCCAAGTTCTGAAACTATAATCCTTTCAGTTTTCTGAGTATTCTTAAACTAAATATGTTAACTGGAAAATGCTAAGATAAAATTTTTAAACTTTAAGTTAGAGGACTATATACTCCATCTTGTATATAAAATATAATTGTTGTGTGTAACATTTATACTAGCCTGTATATATTACTGTTGTCTTTGTTGTATACAATTAACTCYAAGTCATAAGTACAAAAGTCATAAAATAACCAGCAATACAATTAATCCAAATGAGTATTGCAAGAATATTTTTTTAAACTTTAACTTTTATTAAGCAAAGTTTACTCCCATTGAATATTGAAACCACACATACCTGATGTTCCCAAAGCGACATCCCATGGGGAGCTAATGGGTTGCTGCTCTCCTGCTGCTCCTCCTTCTCTGTCTGTTCCCTGAATTCCAATGCCAGCTACAGTGCTCACCTTCTCAGCCTCTAGGTCAATCTGTAAAAATTTAATGGATATGTTACACGTAGCATGCTATCTTTTTTTTTCTTTTGTGATGTAGAGATTTCCAACAGAACACAGACAGTATTTGCAACACAGTGTTTCTGAAAAGGCCAATTGATTATAAGGAACTTTCTATTTAGTATAATCAGTCCCTCTCAGTTCCCCACCTGTCTACCCCCGACTTCACTCCTCTCCCATCCTCATCATGCGTCTGCCAGAACTGGCCTGGACCTCATCTTACCTTGAAAATATTTTAAAAGAAAGTGAAATTTTAAAATACAATCTAGCAAAATGCATGTTTCTTTTTTTTTTTTAAAGAGAGAGTGAGAGAGGAGAAAGAGAGACAGAGACAGAGAGAGAGAGAGAGAGAGAGAGAGAGAGAATTTTTAATATTTATTTCTTAGTTCTCGACGGACACAACATCTTTGTTGGTATGTGGTGCTGAGGATTGAACCCGGGCCGCATGCATGCCAGACGAGCGCGCTACTGCCTGAGCCACATTCCCAGCCCAAAATGCATGTTTCTTAAAATTAAATTTCTATATTTCAATTTTGCTTGGCACTGATCCAAGAATGAGCCAGCCAATCAGCATTCCCAAGATCCCACAACTAGTGTATGTCACAGATCTGGGATTTGAATGGATGCAGTCGATGACTCTATTTCTTAAATGAAACAAAAAGAATGTTTTAGGCACTGGGGATTGAACCCAGGGCCTTGTGTTCAAGGCAGGCATTTTATACTGAGCCACACCCCACCATAAAACAAATGTTCTCCACTGATTAAAAAAAGATGCTCTGCTTTCAAATCCCGACACCTTCCCAACATTTTACCACGAAGACTTTCAAACACATAGAAAAACTAAAATTTGCAGCAAATATCCATACACCTATCACCTAATTAGATTCTAGTATCAACACTTCACTTACTTGCTTTACCATATATTTTTTTCTAGCTATTAATCCATTTCTATTTTTTGATGCATTTCAAAGTCAACTGCAAACATCAGCATACTGTCTTTATTAAAAGATCAGCACTTCATGTGCTTTTGTTTTTCTTTTCCTGATAACAGGGGTCTCACTATGTTGCCTAGGCTGGTCTGGACTCTTAGGTTCAGGCGCTCCTCCTGCCTCAGCGTTCCTAGTATAATCAAGTGCAACCATGCCTGGCTGACCAAATGGCTTTAACTTACATTTCCTTCTTAACTCACAATGTTGAATACCTTCATCCATGCTTCTAGTCATTCCTTTATCTTCTTAGATTCTGTTCAAATCTTTGGCTCATTTTTTAAATTGTGCTGTCTTCTATTTCAGTTGTTGGAACCTCTGAATATCATGGATACTAGACCCCTAATAGATGTTTTGTGGGTTTGTTTGTTAATGTTTCTGAAACTCTGTGTTTTAATTTTTTAAAATGGTAAATTTTAATGAGCAGGTATTTCAAATTTTGATAAAGTTTAATATCATTTTTTATGATTACTATTTTTTGTGTCCTATCTTAAGAAGTCTTTGCCTACTTATAAATCACAAAGTTAATCTCAACCATCCTATGGGAGTATTAAATGGCTTGTTATTATGGGTTTTGTTTGTACGTATTTTTTGATACTGGGGATTGAACCAGGTGTGCTTAACCACTGAGCCACATCCCCAGCCTTTTTTATTTTTTAAGAGAGTCTTTCTAAGTTGCTTATGAGGCTGGTGACCCTTCTGCTTTAGTCTCCCAATTCACTGTAGTTTTGATATGCAATTTCTTGCTTAATAAGGATGACAAGTATCTTTTCTGGTGTTTATGGGCCATTTGAGAAATGTTTCAAAAATTTAGTTTTGTCAGGCACACTGGCATATCCTATAATCCCAAGGATTTAGGAAGCTGAACAGGAGGATCACAAGTTTGAAGCCAGCCTGAGCAATTTAGAGAAAACGTGTCTCAAAAAAGTAAAAAAGGGCTGGGGATGTAGCTCAGTGGTAGAGCACCCCTGGGTTCTATCCTGAGAGAGAGAGAGGGAGGGAAGGAGGGAGGGAGAGAGAGAGGGAGAGAGGGAGAGGGAGGGAGAGAGAGAGAGAGAGAGGGAGAGAGAGAAAGAAAAAAGAAAGAAAACAAACTTGGGTGATATTACAGGAAAGTTCTAACAAATGTTCAAAACCCAGTAATTCCTATTAGGCAACTTTTACATTTAGGTCCGTGAGACATCTTGAATTGATGTTTGTCTATGTTGTGTTAGAAAAGTGTATTCTGTTTTAAAAATTCAATATGGTTATCTAGATGTTCTAGCACCATTTGCTGAAATTATTTTTTCTTTCTGTGTTTGAGTACTTTGATGTTTTTTGAAAATCAAATTTTAACTAGCCAGGCGCAGTAGTACATGCCTGTAATCCCAGAAACTTGGAAGGCTAAGGCAGGGGATCCTAAGTTCAAAGCCAGCCTCAGTAACTGAGCTAGGCCCTCAGCAACTTAGTGAGACTCTAGCTCAAAATAAAAAGGGCAGGGAATGTGGCTCAATGGTTAAGTGCCCCTGGTTTCAATCCCGGGGTAAAAAAAAAAAAAAGAAAAGAAAATCAAATAACTGTATATATATGGGGCTACTTAAGGCTCTTCCTTCATTTTTCTTGATCTATATCTACCCCTTGTGTAAGAACCTGCCTTTCTTGATGAATGTAGCAATATAGGGAGTTTTCAAATCAGGTAGCATAAGTCTTTAAATTTTGTTATTTTTCAGGATTGGTTTAGACATTATATACCCTTTGTTCTGTGTTTCCATGTAAATTTTGGAATCCACTTGTCAACCCCTACAAAAAAAGCCTAGTGAAATTTTGATTTGGATTGTACTGGATTTATATATAGATCAGTTTGGACAGAACAAATATCCTAATATTGAGCCTTCAATATTAATTCTATTAGATACATTCATATAATATCTAACATGGAATTAATTTTCTCAGCAATATATTATAGTTGGAAATACCTCAGTATCCATGGGGGATTGATTCTAGGGCCCACCCAGTACAATAAAATGCCAGGATGCTCAAGTCTTGAATATAAAATGACAGTATTTTTACATAACCTACATATATTCTTCCATATAACTTAAATCATCTCTAGATTACTTATAATACCTAATGTAATAAAAATACTATGTAATAGTTATACAGTATTGTTTTATTAATGACAAGAAAAAAGATTGCACATATTCAGTACAGATGCAATTTTTTTTCCTGAATATTTTCAATCCTTGGTTAGCAGAATCTACAGATGCAGAACTTGTAGATAGAGAGGACAGGCTATATACAGGTCTTGTACATATTTTGTTAAATTTATTCTAAGTATTTTATGTTTTTGCTGTTCTGTAGATAGAATTTTAAAATTCTTATTTCCAATTGATTGTTACTAGTATATAAAAATAGAGGCCAGCACCATGGTGCACGTCTGTAATTCCAACAGCTCAGGAGCTGAAGCAGGAGGGTTGCAAGTTCAAAGCCAGCCTCAGCAATTTAATGAGACCCTTAGCAACACAGTGAGAACTTGTCTTTAAAAAAGAAAAAGGCTAGGGATGTAGCTCAGTGGTTAAGTGCCCCTGGGATCAATCTCAGTATCAAAAAAAAAAAAAAAGAAAGAAAGAAAGAAAGAAAGAAAAAGACTTGATCTTTTTATATGGGTTTTATGTTCTATGACTTTCCTAAATTCACTTCTTAGTTATAGTAGCTACTAATAAATCTCTTAGAATTTTCTGTGTATACATGTCACTGGCAAATAAAGACAATTATTCCTCACTTTTTTATACTTCTTATTTCTCTGTCTTGCCTTAATACGATGGCTAGAACTTGCAGTAAAAGTGTTCCCAATACTGAGAGGAAAACATTCACTATTTTGCATTAAGTAAAGCTGGAGGCTTTTTGTAGATGCCTTTTATCATATTAAAGGCATTTATTTCCATTTCCAGCATGTTCATTTCATCATGAATATAGATTAAATGGTTTCAAAGATTTTTCTTCATCTATTTAAACAATCTTAAGGTTGTCATCCTTTCTTCTGTTACTACAGTAAATTTATGTTAATCTTTTTTGGCAATACCTCTTTGCATTATTTCTCTAGTGTCTGCTCTATAGCTGTCAGAGATTATAGAAAACTCCTCTATTTAACCTTACCAATATGTTTACTGAACCTGATCTGTGAAAATATAATAGGCAACTTGGAAAGGGTCCTTGAAATAGATCTTGACTTGAGAAATACATCATAGAAATAGACAAGAAAATTAAAAAACTCATCTTATTAAAAAAGAAAATCAGACCTGGGTGATATTACAGGAGAGTTTTAACAAATGTTCAAAACCCAGTAATTCCTGTTAGGCAAATTATTCCAAAATACAGAAAAATGAAACTAGTTGATTTGATGAGGTTAGTGTGACCTTGATTCTAATATCAGATGAGCAGAGTACTTGAAGTTTTGGAGCCATTTAATTTTGAACATGAATTTTAAAATACTAAATGTAAATTTGAATAATCAAAATCAACTTGATTCCTAAAAAATTAATGTCAAGGTAAGGTTTATCCCAGGAATAAAAAGATGGCTCAACCTCAAAAGAATCTACCAATTCTTCACATCTACAGACCAAGGACAAAAAAAAAAAAAATCATACAATCATTTCAATAAATTTAGTAATRAAACAATTTTCAGCAACTAGGAGTAGAAATTTTTCTAACTTAACAGATATTCTGTTTTTAAAGTTACAGCAAATATTAAACTTTTGGAGAAAATACACACACTTAATTTTAAGATCATGAGCATGACAGGATACCCATTTATTCTGCTAATGCTTAAACACAACGGAGGTCCTAGATAGCAATACGATAAAAAGGAAGAGAAAGTTTAACAATCAGAAACAATTTGTTTATGTAGACATTTGTATACAAAACATTCAAAAGTTTTTGTTTCGTTTTTGTCACAAATGAATTAGTTGATCCAAAACTTCATATGAAACTACAAATGACCTAGGAGAGGCAAAACAGTCCTGGAAAAGGAAAAGGGGGAGCACTCAGATTTGCTGATATAAAAACACTTAAAGCTATAGCAACAAAAGTGATGTGGTCCTGGCCAAAGGACAGACATATAGGTGGATGGAATAGACTTTAAAGTTCAGAAATAAACCCACCCATTATAATCAATTGATTTTCAAGAAGGTTACCAAAATTAATTAATGAAGGCAGAATATTCTTTCCAATAAATGATTCTGAAGTAACTGGATAGGCACATACAAAAGAATGAAATGGGGCCAGGAAATATAACTCAGTGGTAGAGCATTTGCAAAATCTGTTAAATCTACTAAAAACTTAGTGAATTGTATGCTTAACTGGTGTTTCATGATACATAAAATATAACAAAACACATCATTTAAGATAGCTATGCAAATAAAACATTGTTTTACAAGGTCACATGTAAGTACAAAAGACAAGCACTAAATGTATCAGACTGCTGCCACAGACTTGTTCGCATAAGGGAATGGCAGTTGGAGTGGAGAATAGGGATGTAGGAAATTTTCAAGTTAATATATGTTCTAGACCAAACAAGGTTCTGCTTGGAACAATGATGTTCATGTGTGTGAAAATAGGACTATGATCAATTTAATCTTCTGCAAATGAGGTCTTAAAAACAATGTAATAAATATTCTTAAAAAGGAAGGGAAGAAGTAATTTTGCTACCTATTTTTACAGACGCTACACTAAGTCATATAACAGAGAAAAGTTTTGAATGCCTAACTTTGAGGTGATTATGTTACTTAAATGCATAAGCATTTGAAATGCAACAACACCATGGTCAATCCTCCAAAACCTACTAAGTTATAAAGCAGAAGGATGGAGCACACTTCAAAAAGAACAAGTCCTCAGGATTTCTGGGCTAGCCCTCTTGCTACTTCAATGGATGGCTAATGTCCATGACATTCTGGAGAATTACAGAAACATACAACCCCCAACACAAAAAGGAGGAAGAAATATTGATCTCTAAGGGCTCAATAATAGAAAACCACTTTTMTACAAAGTAGGTATCATGGAAACATCAGTCCCATGAGAAGCTCTACCTAAAAAGGTTCTTCAGCAGTAAGTTTAGAAACATTACAYGACTATGCCACCACTAACATACTCAGCAATATATTACCATATTTGAGAAGACAACCTCCAAGAGTTTCAAAAATTACATCTATTTTATTAATCCCTAAAATCCTTTTCTCACATAATACCTCTTTTATTAATAGAAATATATATATATATATATATATATATATATATATATATTTAAAAATGCTTCATTAGGCAGATGTTATTTGTTCATAAATTAACAAATGTCTACTGAACACCTTCCATAGACCAGGCCCTGTTCTAGGTGCTAGAATTTCAACAGGAAATTCAACAGGGTGTGGTTCAGTGGTAGAAGACCTGCCTAGCATGCACAAGGTCATGGGTTGCATCCCTAGAACACCCCCAAAAATAAAAGAAAGAAAACCTATTTCTTGTCTTCATGGAGATTTACATTGCAGAAGATAGGAGACTTACATTGCAGAAGATAATATTATATATTCCATATATATTATCTGCAATTACCTAACAGTATTATTGAATAAATGAGGACAAAYGTCAACCCTGAAAGAGGTAGTGACTAAAGCAAGAAAGTACCTCAAACAATATGTTCATCTAGCAAGATGGGTCAGAGTAACTTAGTTACTTATCATCCAAATAGATGGCAACTTAAAGATCAGGAATTATAGCCCAAATAGCTACAGGTGGGGAACATTTAAAGGAAGTGGGTATGTCCAAAATGGAATATGACAGTCGCATCATTCATGTGACCAATTTGAAAAAAATAAAGAATACCCGCAAAACATTATGTATTTATATGGTATGAATCCCTTTGTTTTTTAAAAGTTCTCTATAGAAATAATCTTTTAAGTATAAATTTATTTGTATATGAGTAGCAAATCTGAAAAAAATCTGAAAAGATACAATTTTTAACTGTGGTTGGTCACCTCTAAGGAACTGGAGTTGATAAACAGTAAACTTTTTTATTAACTAATTTTTTCTTTCTGTATTAATAATTTTTTTAAAAATGAAGAACACATATTACTTTTAATGAGATGAAATAAATTTTAAAACTAATTGATCAGTGAGTGTTACCAGCCAACAAGTTCAAAGCTGAGGAGAGGCAGGAGTGGTAGGACTTTTTTTTCCCTAGATTGGAGAAAATTTAACTGGAAAGGACAAGGGATCATTGTGTGAATTAGTGGTCAGGGGAAAACCTCAAAATGAGAGCTTTTGGGTAATCAGGCACATAACTTTCAAACAAAGGATAAACAAAGAATTTATTGGGTGGTTCTTCTGTGGCAACTATAAACTGACACAAATAAAAACAAAATACTTAAGAATAAAACTAAAGCAAGTACCCCTGAAAAGGTGGAATAAGGATGATCTGATATGCTTAAACATCACCCTTCAACCTTGAACATTTAATGTAGTAAATAAATATAAGCTTTTCTGATCAGAAGTAGTAAAACTTAAAATGGGAAATTACCTTCCTTATGAGGTGGTTTTCAGTGTCTGCCACGTATATGACATTATTCTTCATGACTACACCCTGTGGGGAGTTAAAAGTTGCCTCTGAAAATATTCCATCTTTTCTTCCAGGGTTAGGTCCTAAAAGACAAGACATAACTCATGAGATAAAATTTTCTGACTAAGAAGTAATTTCAAAGTAAAACCAACAAAAATGAAAATAAAAATTTATATTTAATGCTGAGATTTTAAAAATAAACAACATGATACTTCTTCCCTCAAAATGAAAATGTTTCCCAAGGTATCTATTTTTCTCAAGAGTGAGTATTGGTAATGACAGGGCTTTTGATGTAATAGTTACTAGTGAACTTCAGCAACACAGAAGAAACAAATTTTAAAAGCACTTTACTTATTAACTTTCTAAACTAAAAAGTTAAAAATAATTTTAACCTTTCAACAACTAGCTGAATTATTTTCAACAAAATAATAAGATAAACTCCTTTATAATAAAGTGAAAATTATGCACCTCTTCCCTAGAAAAGCACACATACCCCACACTATCTCAAACAGTGCAACAGCCTCAGCTGAGTCCTTGCTCTCTGTTTTACCWCATCATGAATTTAGGCCTATAACATCTCATCCATATTTGAAGATTCTGGTCCAAAGGCCTACTCAGACTTTACAAGGGATGGAAGAGTTCCAAGGGTGGGGAATATAAGATGATAAAACACAGTTGCTATTTCTGGTTCCTGGAGAAAAGCAATTCAAAGTCTTTAAGTCAGCAGCCACAAACTGCTCTGCAGAACTCCACTGTGCTAGATGTGAGATAGGTAGGAAATGACCTGAGGAGTCTACATACATGGCTTAAATCCCAGCTCTGCCCCTTCCTGGCTGATGGTTTGGGCAAGTTCTGTGCCTCAGCTTTTCTTCTATAAAATGGAATTAATAGTACCTAACCTACAGCATTGCAAGAATAAAAATAAATTAGTGCAGGTATTATACTTAGAATAATGTCAGGCATACAATATTACTAATGACACTACTGTTGTTGATGTTGATAAGAGTTCCCAGGGAAAAAAGCACATGGTGGGGGGAATTGTGTAGTCACTTTAAATTGGAAAATATTGTGTATTGCAGTCCCCTTTTGGATATTTGAGAAACATTAACAGAGTAAGATACAAGGTGTCAGATGACTCACAAAAATTTGTTAAATCATATATTAGTGCTTCCTGAGTGTATTTGACCAAATAATTATTTTTAAAATATTAAAGAATAACTATTAATATATCATCAGATAGCATTATTCTTAGAAATATTTGGGAAATATAGCTTTCGGGTGGTTTCCTTATTAGCAAAGAAAATGGTAGAATCTATTAAAAACTCATTTATATCACTTTAGATATAAAAGACAAAAGAATTCTCATAAATGCTTGGTTTACACAAAAATACTAAGTAGCCAAAACAAAACATAACACATACTCAAATAAAAACACTAAACAAAAGACATCACTACTTCAAGAGGTAAGGCAGTACCTTGGCAACCTGGGAACAGCATGATGGCTMAGGAGTAGGCCTGGCTGACCTGTGCTTCGGGGTGCTCCTACCCTATGTCTAAGGCCGAATGTGTTGCGCATCTTGATTCATGACCCAAAGACATGAATCACTTTTCTCTTTGACTAATATGTTGTTACATTTCAGTTCAGCCATGGATAAGCAGAATTAGTAAGGATGTACTTAGATTTTATTAATTATGTACATGTTAAACAAGAGGCTTTATTTATTWTTTTTAAACGTAAGGCCAGGAAGATATGGAACAAAATGATTTATCCTTAAATGATTCTTTATTTTGCTACATTCAAAGGGATCCAGAAGTATGCTTAAGTTCTTATGGGAAAAAGGAGAGAAAAGTAAAATTACATACAAATCCTGGCTTATTAATTTTATAATCTAAATATTAAGTTCTTGAGGCACTGTCCTGGTCTTCAAGAAGATTTTGTTGGAAAATAAAATATAATACTTCTATTTAAGATGTTAGAGGTCCAAAATATATGTATTTTCATAAGTAAGTATACATTTTATTAAAAACAAGACAGGATATATAATTATACTGAAAGGATACATAACTTAATGATTTCCTGCTTTGACAAGACTTTTTTTTATTTTTTATTTTATTTTATTGGTTGTTCAAAACGTTACAGAGCTCATGATATACCATCTTTCATACATTTGACTCAATTGGGTTTTGAACTCCCATTTTTACCCCAAATACAGATTGCAGAATCACATCTGTTACATACTCACATTTTTACATAATGGCATATTAGTGACTGTTGTATTCTGCTACCTTTCCTATCCCCTACTATCCCCCCTCYCCTCCCCTCCCCTCTCATCTTCCCTCTCTACCTCCTCTGCTGTTGTTCAATTCTCTCCCTTTTTTTCCCCTCCCCCTTGCCCCTCATAACCTCTTATAATTTTGTGTATCATTGAAGGTCTCCTACCATTTCCATATGCTTTCCCTTCTCTCTCGCTTTCTCTCCCCCTTGACAAGACTTTTTTTGGATATTTTTGTTTGCTTTTTGAAGAAGTAAGATTAATTCATATACATTAAATAACAATAATTTTGTAGTTAGAAATTAATGTGTTGTCTTTCTACAGTTTGCTATTAATTATAAATTTCAATTTTAATATATTTACGTGAGTTATTTTAAACTACAGAACATATTATATAGCATAATTAAAAGGAAACTTTACCTCCAATACTGTACTGAATTTGTCCATTCTTCCAAATGACCAAAATTCTATGATGTCCAGTATCTGCTACTGCCAGTCTATTAGTAGCATGGTCCTCTGTTATTTTGCCAGGAAACAGCAATGGTGAAGGTGGCAAAGAATCTTTATAGAGCTTTATTCCAATTTTATTATCTCTGATTTGTCCCCTTTCTTTGTAATATTTTAAAGCTATTGAAGTGTATAAAAATAATTTATCTTTGTGTCCCTCTCCAATCAAAGAAAATAACATATTTCCGCGGGGCCCAAGGATGACCAGAGTGGGCCAGCAAGAAACTTCTAGCTCTTGCCAAAGGCAGGCATCTGCATCATTGACCACAGGGTGGGTGATGTTGTATCGGAGAACAGCACTCTTAATGTTGTCCAGGACTTTTTCATTTGGAAACTTAGCTGAGTGGACACCAACAATCAGAAGACCATCTGGAAGACGGAAAGCATACAAGAAATATTATGAAGTATTAAACAGCATCATCTATACATTAGACTTCAGGTCACTAAGAGGTATAAACAGTTGATAAATTTTTAAAAAAATACAACTATAGTATCTTTAATGGCATAGAACACACGTATAAAAAATTAACAAATTTTTTATTATTTGGAGCTGTAGCACAGTGATAGATCGTTTGCCTAGCACATGTGAGGTACTGGGTTCAATCCTYAGCAGTACCACATATAAAAATAAATAAATAAAATAAAGGTATTGTTATGGCAGTATGTATAAACGTGGCTGTATAACCAATGTGATCCTGCAATTTGTACTCGTGGGGAAAAATAAGAATTCATACCACATCTGAATCAAATGTATGATATATGGTATGTCAAGATCGTTGTAATGTTCTGAGCAACTAATAAAAAAAATAAAGGTATTGTGTCCATCTACAACTAAAAAAATATATTAAAAAAATTAACATATTTTGCTGGGTCTAGTGATGCATGCCTGTAATCCCAGGGAACTGGGAGGCTGAAGCAGGAGGATCACAAGTTCGAGACCAGCCTCAGTAACTTAGCAAGCAAGACCCTGTCTCAAAATAAAGAAGGACTAASGATGCAGCTCAGTGGTAAAACACCCCATTTTTAAAAAAAATTTCATGATAATCTTTATTTCTATATAAAAACACACGTGATCAGGGGCTGAGGTTGTGGCTCAGTGGTAAGAGCGCATACCTAGCATGTGTGAGGCACTGGGTTCAATCCTCAGCACCGTATAAAAATAAATAAATAAAGGTATTGTGTCCAACTTAAAAAAAAGACTAAAACAAAAAAAGCGTGATCAAATTCATGGGCTATTGTAGTATTAAAATTTTTCATGCCTATTGGCTAGATAAAAGCTTTTAAAAAATAGTATTTATTTACTGCAGTAATGAAAATACTATTTGAAATAAATTCATTGAATAAGCTTAATGGCAATAAAATGACAGAGGAAAAAGTCAAAGAACCTAAGATAGTTCAACAGAAGTGATCCAACCGAAAGAATGCAGAGAAAGAAGACCTTGGAGATCTGTGGAACAGGTTAGAAGACATAAAATGTAACTAGAATCCCAGAAGAAGAGGAGAAAGAGACTGGGGAAGAATATCTAAATAATAGACTTCTAAAATTTGGCCAAAGATATAAATTTACTGAATTTAATGTCAGCAAACAACAAAAAAGGCAAATTACAAGAAAGTCCTGCCTCGATACAGCACAAACAAATGGCTGAAAACAAATGATTAAATACATCTCAAAAGCAGATATTGAATAAAGATACATGAGGAATGGTTGCCAGAAAGCTGGATGTAGGGAAAGAAATGGGAAGGGCTGAATACTTCTTGCCCTGGGCAAGTTAATTCACCTCTCTGTTGATCAGTTTTTGCAAATGAGGGAACTATCACTAACTGCTTCCTAGGTCAGGCAGATTAAAAGAATCTGTGTAAGACATTTAGAATAGTGCCAAGTATACAATAAAATCTCAAAAGGACTTAGCTATTATTATTTTTTAAAGTTGTAAGTATAAAGATAACCAAACAAACTTCTCAAATCATCAAAATAAATTAATAACACACGATGTTGGGAAACACAGCAATACTTATTATGTGTCAGAACTGTGTTATTGTGTTTACTAGGTCATGCCCACAATATGTGTATTGGGTTATACACATAATGGCACAATGCTTTTAGACAATAATCATAGGAATCAATATGAATGGGTTCAACTCATCTATTAAAAGAAAAAAGTATTATACACACTGAATATAAGAGATACATCTAAAATAAAGTGAATCAGAAAGGCTACAAATAAGGGATAGGCAAAGGTAGAGCAGGCAATAATGAACACAGGGGAATACGGCATTACRTCTTCTCTGACTCCTGGGCCAGTAGAGCGTTCAGCTCCCTGACAAAGGAACCTGACTCTGCTTTCACCTCATTAAATAAATTGGAAGCCTATGAAAGTATTTCTTTATAAAAAYACATGTGATCAAATTCATGGGCTATTGCAGGATAGCCCAATTCCAAATTGTCTTTGTTCTTCCCTACTTCAAACCCATCCTTCCTTTTCAACTGCCTGGCATCTTCAAGCTGAGTTGCTGCACACAAAAGCAACAGCCTCATGCAGAGGTCCGCACTAACGTACGCTCAATAAATCCCTGTTTTTCACTACTTCTAATGGTTCTACTTCTCTTATCAAACCATGACTAATACTAAAACCCTACATCCTTGTTTTGGTCCTACCTCTGCTATTACGTGTATGAAATCTTCAGCTACCCACAGGCAGTTTCCCTATCATCCCTAGTTGGATGAAGCTCTCCTTAAGGTACATTCACCAGGAAGGACACATGTGCACGGTATTCTGAGTTCTTGGACACTCAAATTGTTTTTCACAGCTTTGACTGATGCTTGAACACAGGGTTGGATACAGTATCCTTGGTTTACTCCTGAAATGCTTGCTTGTATCCTGTTTGTGAAAAGTCTGACAAGTCTTGATAACATGTCTTCTTTGCAAGTCATCTTTTTGTCCCAGGTCTTGAGTTTTTTTTTTTTTTTTTTTTTTCTTTCTTTCAATCTTTAAAATGGAATAGTTTTATTGGGATACTGCTTGAACTGTTTTGGGTCAATTTCCCCTTGTACATGGTAGGAGCCCTCAATATGTAGATTCAAGTTTTCTTTCATTCACACTAAGTTTTCTTAAATTCTAATTTTAGTTATTACACTGGTTCTGGCTAGTTGTCTTGATTTTCTTGAGTATCTCCAAGTAGTCTTATGTTGGACCTCCTTTGTCCACCTACCAATTCAATCATTTTTTTTTCTAAATCTTTGAACTTTTTTGTTTAGTTCATTTTCTGTCTCCAGGCTTTCTTTTTCCCCTGCTTTACTTAAATATCCCTTAGTACATTTTTATATGAATTATTGTCCCTTGAGTGCCTTATAATTTAGTTTTCAATTGTAATATAATTTCGAACGTTTCCTTCCTTTTCTTTCCTGATCTCAATCAACACACATTTCTTCTTTTTTTTGTCTTTTTCTTAGTTTTTCAATTTCTGAATCCAGTTGTTTTTTTATTATTCCTAAATGCTGTTTGAGGATATTTAATTCAGTATGGAGGAAGTGTTACAGTTTTTGTCAATTTTGTGATTGGTAAAGTGAGACTTTGCATCAACATTTCAACTCTGAATTGCATTCTCAGCTTTCCCCGGTTCTATACGGATGTGATCTGGTTTCCTATTCCTCTTCATTTAGTGTGCAGGTTCCCAGCTTGAGAGTGCCCTCTTCTGACAGTTCCTTTTTTTCTGTGAGGTTTTATTGATGGATAGCATCTCTGAAGGGAGGAGTGTGTCTTTCTCTTTTGTTTCTGCTAGATCCTAAACTTTTCCCTCTTATTTCCTTCTTCTCCTTCAGCTGTCCATCTCAAGGGAGACATATCTGCAACATATGGAATTCTCTCCCCAAAGCAATGCTCCTCCCATGGAAGAAATGCTTCCATCCTAGCCCTGTATTCTTTTTTATTTTTTGTGGTGCTGGGTATTGAACCCAGGGCCTTACGCATGCAAGGCAAGTATTCTACCAACTGAGCTATATGCCCAGCCCCTGCCCTGTATTCTTTCAGAGCTGGTAATACATTCAAATCTGTGTTGAATCTGGGCACTTTATACTGGAGTTTCTCTTTCTGGGGGTGAGGAGGTTATTCTGTTTTTGCTTTGTTTGCCTGAGTCCTTTAATCCACTTATTTTTTCTTGAGGAGTCTTTTAAGTTTCCTCGGTCCCTGTTCTTAGCACCTGCAGGCTTGTAGCAGCAGGACCTTTCCTGGTATTTAGTTTATTTCCCAACTTACATGWGATGTGAAGGCCATGATATTCTGTCTCCTAGTATTATAAACTGCAGGGTCAGATATTGTTTTATTTGCTCTCCTTGTCGTTTTTATGTTTGGGGAGGGTAGGGAAGGAGAGTGGAAAGGTTTAAAATTAGGTGGCCACCATTCTCCAAACCTGGAAGTAGCACTGACAGATTCTTGTTTAAAGTATGTTTTAGCTTTTATATTGCTCACTGGTTAAATAAATGTAATTGAGTTCTAAAACCAGTCCCTTACTTAATGGAAAAATGTAAGCAGTATTTTTCTTTCTCTTTTTCTTTCTTTTTTCAGTACTGGGGATTAAACTCAGGGGCACCACTGAGCCACCCCAGCCCTTTTTTTATATTTTACTTAGAGGCAGCATCTCGCTGAGTCACTTAGGGCCTCCCTAAGTTGCTGAGGCTTAAACATATTACATATCTGCAACAATTACTATCCATCACAATCCATTGTACGTTTTCCTACTAATCAATATACCTCAACATTTCCTGAGGGTGTTCACTAGGTGAAGAGAGTGAAGGAGATTCCAGGGACATGCAAAGAGGTCACAAGGAAAAAGTCAGCACGTGCAAAGAGGTCACAAGGAAGGAGAGACAGAAGTAACCAAGAGAAAACAAAAGGTGAGCAAGGGATGGATGAGAATAAGGAGAGAGGGTCAACCTTAAAGTCAAAAAGGATTAGATCTTCAGCCTCAGGGCAATGAAAGTCATTTGGGGATGAAATCCATGTCTCAAAGGCTCTCCCAACAAAACCAGGGGCTGAGGTTGTAGCTCAGTGGTAGAGCGCTTGCCTAGCACGTGAGGGACTACAGATCTGCTATATCCACTCTTGTCCACCACTGACTTATCTACCCAGGAGTCAGACTGAACTTTTAAAAAATGCGAATCTGATTATGCCCCCCCCCAGAGAAAACCCCTCTCTGGTTTTCCACAGTGCTTAGTATAACAACCAATCTCATCTCTCCAGAATCTTCTCCACATTTTTCTCTTTCCCCAGAGTGTTTTAGCAACCTGGCTTTCTTTTACTTCATCAAGAATTATCACTACTAGTGGTCCTCCCTTATCCATTGTCCATGGTTTTAGTCACCTGCAGTATGAT